GCTACAGTGTGAAATACAAAGTAATGTACCATTGGTATATGTACTTAAACAATAAAAACATGAATACAAATTAATCATCATATTATACGTACGGTGAATATCAAATAGATTGGTTCGAAAAATTCATGATTAAGATTTTTTACCATTTTTTGTTTAAAATGTAGTGAGTAAATGTGTTAATTTTGGAAAATCTGTGACTACGGCTATTTACAGCTAAAATTATTAGATGTAAATGTTCTGGTTGTAACTTGTAGTAGCTGTTAAATTAGTGGCTATAAATACGAAATTTGAGAAACAATTGATTTGTTTTTCCAAATTTGGCGTAATTTCCTTCACCGACTTTCAAACTCCCAAAAGGCTAATTTATTGTTTTGTATAAATCGCGGATTGTTATTGTACACCCAGTTAAATTCCAAAGGAAAACATATTTAAAGAAGAAAATGTGTGTGTTTTTTATAAAATTAAACTCAAATTTTTTAAGTCTCTTTGAATACTGTCTTTAAATATAAAAAAATACTGTCTTTAAATATATAGTTGTGTACACTTGACAACAAATTCAGCAAAACCAAAACAGTACTCGTATTTTGTTAATTGATTACGCTAACCTCTTGAATATAGGAAAATATTAGATGTTTCATTTGTACGTACAAGCCTCCAAACGTTCATGCAAATTGGTCAAATAAGTAAACGTACACGTAAAAATATAAATGTTTCTTGTGACTCCAATCCAATACAGATACATTTGATTTAAAGTACTTACGTCTTACCTAACAGACATAAAAGATTACAAACAAAAATTAAGCAGATGAGAAGTTAATCAAGTTATTATAGTGGTACGTATTTTCAAAAAGAAGTTACTATTATAGTACGAACCAAGGTGAGTTGCCATTTAAGAGTAAACCTTTAAACGATGTCGTATCGCTAAGAGGTGGGATAAAAAAAAAAAAAACCATAATAACATGGAAATAAAAGCTGGTGGGTCCCACTCAACAGCCATGTGCATAAGAAAATGGTGGTCATATGCGAAGAAGGAGATGGTGATTCTCGCGTGTAGAAACGACACGTGTCAAAGAAAACAAACAGTATGCACACACGCCAAACTGAAAAACAACACAACCCACGTGACGCGACCTTTGTTGTTTGTCCTCACTATTTAGTTCAAATGTTTTTAAAATAAGTAAATAAAAAGGTACTATAATTCCGTACGGTACCCATCCGTAGAACAAATAGTGCTTTCCACTTTTATGATTTTTTTTCCATCATTTCTTCTTCCAACTTTTCTACTGGACACATATCAAAACTTAAGCCCAACAGTAGTGTTGTTACTGATTTTTCCAAACAAACTTTTCAAGAGATTTTAGTCTTTTGTGTTTGGAAAACGAGAAGAAATGTCACCATTGAAAAATGTAGTCAAGAAATGTAGTCAAGAGCTAAATAACAAAATCAATAAACAATTATCTTTGTATAACTCCATAATTTTATACTCGATACATATAAACTTAAGCCTAACACTAAAACACTAGTTTTAGGCTTAAGCTGATTAAGAGATTAATTAGCAAATACACTATCATGTATTGATATCATATACAAATAATGCGCATGACATAATTAATTGAAAATACATGTGATCTAAATGTTCATAACGATTTTAAGTTGTTGTACAAAGATAATATTTGATAACTAGTGATTGCACATGCGTTGCGTGAGATTTAAAGTTAACATGGTAAAATATGCAATA